CGAAGATTATCGAGGATGTCCGAAGATAACCGAAGATTTCCGAGGGAGAACCGTTTCGATCATACAGCAATACATTTAAGTACTTTTTAAGGGATTATGTAACCATAGCAATGGTGATCTTTTCACTTGTGAAAATATCGTGTTATTTTCACCTGTGAAATAACATCTTATTTTCACGTGTGACGACACCATGTTTACGCGCAAAAGCTCACCTGGTATTTCAATGATGTTTATATAATAAAATGATTTATTCATCATATCTTACATAACCCTTTATTCGCGACATTGCCTCTCTTCATAACTGGTTTATTAGTGCGGGTGCTATTTAGCTATCTATTATATAGACAGGAGTGCTTAAGGTGGCCGAACAGAGTTTTCAAGTGCCTATGCCTGATTCACCATTACTTTTAAACTATTTATGCTTTGGCGCCCGTTTTTTGCAAGAGTCAAGGTTAACCGCAGAAGAGTTTATTCTCGCATTTTGGCTGAGGTGTGTGCTGTTGCCATGGCAACGGGGCTGGTTAAAAGCAAGACTTAAAAAATGGTTTTTGTTTATTTAAAAGAAATCCAGTCGTTAGATTTTTTCCATCATTTGCCCACTACAAATTGACATTAAATCCCTTCTGTCAACACTGTTCTAATAAAATTTTGACATAGACGATTTTCGTAATTCGCCGTAAATCGTTTTCACTGCATGTTCTGTATTATTAAGAATTTCCTATATCAAAATTCAGATTTTTTGTGATAGATCATTCACATGGTTCCTGAACTATTTTTTTGCCAAATATCTTGAAATTCTAACGACTGGATCGTTAGAAATCGGTAAGTTTCTCCAAAGCAATCGGTCTCAATTTTTCGAGCAACTGCGTATGCGCTGCATTTAACTGGGTTCTTCCGGTTTCTTTCGGTAACAAAGAAAAAGCAAAGAATTGCTGGGTACTTTGAATAATTAGCTTTTCTAGCATATCTTTGTAATAAAAGACTAAAGACATCAATACACTGCGTTCAATAATAGAGAAAAATAGCACAGATAGTGCGGATGTTGAGTAAATAGAATGATCGCTCTATTGACGGCATGTTTGTTTTTGCAATTCTTGTGCGCGCGCTGAATTGCATCAGCAAAAGCGCGCGCGAAAACTGTGTTCGGCCACGAAACCACATTCGGTACTCGGGTGGCGTATCCTCACTAGTGGAGAAATTGATGACTTCACTGATCATGTTTGACACTTAAACTGTACTTAAATTTGTTGGTGTATGATCGAAACGTCTTCGAATCTTCCTCGAAAGTCTTCTGCAATCTTCGGTTATCTTTAGAAATCTTCGGTAATCTTCGGAAAATATTTGAAAAACGTTCGTGTGGTCTTCGGACAATTTTTGGAGAATCTTCGGAAATCTTCGGAAAGTGGTAGGAAATTGGAAAATCGTCAAAAACGTCGTTATCAGTATGTTTATATAATAAAATAATACATGGTTGCTTGTGGACTAGTGATGGAATATCTCTTCTCGATCGTGTTCAACTTTATATAGATAACGAGTTGAACACTCGAAGAGATATTCCCTATCTATGCGCGCCCATGTATTATCCTCAATATATGTATCGTCGTTATTCATCATGCTCAATCGCGTTCTATTTCATGACTGACTTGCGACCAAGAATATGTATTTTTCTTCTCAATATTTGCATCATTTGAATGCGTACGCGTT